GGGGGGTGACTGGGGCTCAGCCAGGGGGCTCCCCGGGGCACTAGGGGAGTGACTGGGGCTCCCCGGGGCTCAGCCAGGGGGGTGATTGGGGCTCAGCCAGGGGGGTGATTGGGGCTCCGCCAGGGGGGTCCCCAGGGCACTAGGGGAGTGACTGGGGCTCAGCTGCTGCTACTGGTTTGTGGGGAGTCGGTGACTAGGAGACCAGTCCCCTTGCTGGGGGAGAGACACTGCTGTTGTGTTACCCAGATAGTCCGACAGCATCATGGGCCTCAGGGCTCCTCCCGGGGAGGCCACTGGTGTCTCGTTGGCTCCCGGTATGTGTTCGGTGTGCTAGACCCATCCTTGGGGTCATATCCATTCCCGCACATGGGCCCGCCCCTCTGCGGGCTGTGGTTGATGGTGTGACTCTTTTGTAGCACAGAACTCATGCGCCGGGTCCGCAGATTCCAGATTGCCCAGTACAAATGCCTTGTGATCAAGTACGCCAAGGACACTCGTTACTGCGCCAATGGGGTCTCCACGCATGACAGGTGAGCTGCTGCCATGGATATCCCCCCATTAGCAGGGAGGATAATCATCTGCCTGCTGCAGCTTGACTGTTTGCTTCTAATAAGGGAACTTGGCTTACAAGCTTGAAGTTGAAGTTGTCTCCTTTGTTCTGTACAGTCCATTGGCCCTGCCTTCAATGGTGTGTTTCGGCATGACTGCAGCCCTGTGCCCCTCCATAGAATGCTGCTTTCAGCTAGCTGCTGTTTAGCTGTGGTATGGGATGTCTTTTTTTTACAACTCGCTGGTTGGCAACTGCACCGTGTTTAAGTGGCACAGCTTTTAGCCCAGGAATGATGACCTGTCTCAAAACAGCTGTTACCTGTGCTTGAGCCCTTGTTTTTAATAGCTGCCTCCTATATGGTTGACCAGGCACTCACTCATGTGCTGACCCTTCCTTGCAGGAATACCATGGAGGCTCTTTCAGCCTGTTATCTCAAAGACGTGCACCAGGAGGCGCTTGGTTCAGCTGTGATTGGCATTGACGAAGGCCAGTTTGTAAGTTCTCAGTGCTTGTCTGCTGCTGTCTCCTGTCCAATAACCAGCAACTTGCCTTGAAGGGGCCCCGTGCCATGTAAGATGGGGAGTGCAGAGAAGAATCTTAGACCAGTTAACACAGTGGGTAAAATGGTCTTGTGCAGAGTTCTTGTCCAGCCACATTTGTGTGCTCTAGTGCCATCCCTCCTTATAGCCTTGGTACGGGTCCTGTGGGCAGCTAAACCTACCATGTTTCTTCTGAACTGTGAAGACGCTCCTTGCCCCCTTTGCTCAGGTAATGTTGCTGTAGTGTCCTAGCTGGTGCCCTGTCCTGCTGTTGTGGGGACACTTCTGAATTCACTTGAAGCTGCCCATACTCCTTCCTCTGCACTCTCCTCGCTGAAGCTGTCCTCTTTATGCCCGTCTAGTTCCCAGACATTGTGGAGTTCTGCGAGGCAATGGCCAATGCAGGGAAGACGGTAATCGTTGCTGCCCTCGATGGGACCTTCCAGAGGAAGGTAATTTCTCTTTCAGCAATAGGTAACTGGATCCTTCTGAGTTCTTATCTCTGTACCAAATAGCCTATCTTTTTGCTGCAGGCATTTGGGAGCATCCTGAACCTGGTCCCCTTGGCAGAGAGTGTAGTGAAGCTGAATGCTGTATGCATGGAGTGTTACCGGGAGGCTTCATACACTAAGAGGCTGGGCTCTGAGAGGGAGGTAAGATTCTAGAGAACAAAGACCACTCTAACAGGGCCTTGAAGGCACCTGTGAAGTGACATGACCTGCCCACAGTGTGTTTATACAGGAGGAAGGAGCATCCCCTTCTAACCTACTCTCT